ACAAGCAAAAGCATGGATGAAAGATTTAAAAAAAAAAAAAAAAAAAGGCTAAATTCAATGGTCTGGGAAGGGCCTTCAATCTGGCCTGAGCCAGCCCCTTCCCAGGGGAGGCAGGCGTGGGAGGGAATGAGCACCCTGGAGCACAGGTAGTTACTCGAATCCCCTCGTCCCTACACCACTCCCTCCACCAATCAGGTGTGACTACAAAGGAGCTGCCCGCCACTGCATGGACCCCTGTTACATAAGGAAGGAACCAGGCAGGCCCTGATGCTGAAAGACACTGCCAGGGTCAGATTACCCAAGAAGGGCCCAGAAGTCCACACAAAGGTCCTCGGGGCTGAGCTGCGCAAGGCAGGGCAGGGCCGATCCCTCCTGAGGGGGGCCTCTGCTCTCTGGCCCTCAGCTTGCTTAAGTCCACCACATTCCACCAGGCTCCTGTAAGCCCAAAAGGCAGCTGGCTCAACCTCTGGGCATCGAGGCCCAAGGCCGCCAACCAACCAACCACCCGATGACTGCCAAGGAAAAGGGGCAGCAGGGCTGAGGCTGAAGGCCAAGTCTCATTCCAATCTGGCACCAGTAAAGGGATGGAGGGGACACCTCTGTTTCCATCTATGTCCTCACACGCATGCATCCACGATAAATACCACCCCAACCCAAAACACATCCAAGGGATTCCGACAAAAGTGAGCATCACCTGGGACGCCAACCTCAGAGGAACCTAAGGAGAATCCCGAAGGAGAGGGAGCCTCCCTCCAGTTCACACAGTCCAGCCAGTCTCAACCAGCCTGCCTTCTAAACACCCAGCCCCAGGAGCCTGCAGTCAGTGTTAGGGAGACAGTGGTACGGACGAATGGGAAGAATCACAGGCTCACAGCTCAAGACACGGCAGGGTCCTCAGAGGTCACTTTGCAAAGGAAAAAATCCCCAGGCCCAGAGTCATAACAGTCCTAAGTAGCAGGGCCAAGATTCGAATCCAGGTCCCTTCTGACTTCAGATTGCACTTTTATGACTCTTTATTACTATTATTGTGGATAATAATAATAACGGGCATTTCTACAGCATTTTCAAATTTGCAAAACGTTTTCCACATGTTCCTTTATCCATGCCTCACAAGCACCTTCTGCTTTGGTCAGCACAGGTATCACTTTACACATGAGGGAACAGGGATCAAAGAGGCTAAATCACACAGTTAGAGTCAGTTGATGGGATCGGAACCCAGACCCATCCTGACTGCAAGCCCAGCCCTCAATCCACAACGACCCCCTTCCCCTTCCTGGACATTTTACAGATGAGCAGAGTCTGGGACTCCGCCAGGAGACACACAGCTCTCAACCAGCCGGAGCCAGGACCAGAACCCCAGCTCTGACTCCAAGCTGAACCTCAGTCCACAAAACTACCCACCCAGCCTGGAGAACCTCCTTTCTAAGCAAATCCCCACCTCCTAATCGAGGGATTTTGCAATCATGTGTCATCGCTCACCAGCTTTGCCTAAAGCTCCCGTGCACACCTATTATAACAGTAATACCTGACATTTAGACAGGACTTTGAAGTCTATAGAAGCACTAGCTGCTCTCTCAGAAGCTCTCAGGTAAGCCCCGCAGGTGATGACGATCCCCCCCTTCACAGGCAGGGAGCCTGTGGGCTCCAAGAGCAGTGAGATTTGAACCCAAGTCTTCAGGATTCCAAGGCTGGAAGAGCACCCTGTTCACACATTCCTCCAGATGCCTCAAGAGAGCAAAGAGACTTCCCACAGTATCCCATCCCCCAAAGCTCCAGGGAGTTCAGAATCCTTGGATGAGCAGGAAAGTCCATCCGACAGAGGCGCCTCCTGGCACTGTTCAAAATCCTGGGAACTACAAAGCCCAAGAGACCAACAGGACTGAAGATGCAACACCACCTCCAGCTGTGAATTAGCTAAAGCTCAGCATTGAGAGGCAGGGGACAGACCTGGGGGCAAATGCTGGGTCTGCCACTGCCTGGCTGGGGGACCCTAGGCAAGGAGCCTTCCTTCTCTGGGCCTCAGTCACCTCGTGTACAAACAAGGAGAGGGTTGGAACAGATGGGCTCTAAGGCAAGAGGGCATCTTTTCTGCGTCCTGTGTCCCTGTGGCAGTTGGGGGAAGCTGATGAGCCCCCTCTGAGAAAAAATTATCTACATATGTAAAATAAAATGCATAGGCTTCCAAAGGAAACCATCATAGTGAAATCCAGTTAGCCTATTTTTTCGAGTACAGGTTCACCAAGGCCAAGGGATGTCCCTTCAGAGCCCTCAAACACATCAGCCACCGACCCAGCCTTGGCCCCTCCTGGGCCCTGTGCCCCAGGTAGGCATCAAGGGTGGAGACAGAGGTGGGGTCATGGAGGGAGGGACCAACTCTCATTTCTGGCCAATTCTAGCCGAGTCTCTCCGAGACTAAGGCACTGTTCACAAGGGCCCAGAAAGGCCAGGCTGGGGAAAGTATGGGGTTGGGGAGGGGAGGGAAGGGAGGGGAAGAAAATATGCCAAGTAGACTAGGAGGCTGTATACCAGCAGTGTTAAGGCTCACTGGTCCCTGGCTGAGTCTGGGAAACTCATAAAGCCCATGCATCAGAGCCTCACTCAGTCTCAGTCATCCAGCCTTCTAACACTAACCCCCTGAGAGCCTGCAGTCAATGGGAGATTAAAAAAATAATAATAATCGGAGAAGATGTGGGAAAATTGGAACACTAATGCATTGTTGGTAGAGTTGTGAAATGATCCAACTATTCTGGAGAGCAATTTGGAACTATGCCCAAAGGGCTATAAAAATGTGCATCCCCTTTGACCCAGCAATAGCGCTTCTAGGGCTGTATCCCAAAGAGATCATACAAATGGGAAAAGGACCTACATGTACAAAAATATTTAAAGCTGCTCTTTTTGTGGTAGCAAAGAATTGGAAATTGAGGGGATGCCCATCAGCTGGGGAATGGCTGAACAAGCTGTGGGATATGAGTGTAATGGAATACTATTGTGCTCTAAGAAATGATGAGCAGGAGGACTTCAGAAAAACCTGGAAAGACTTGTATAGACTGATGCTGAGTGAAATGAGCAGAACCAGGAGAACACTGTACACAGTAACAGCCACGTTGTGTGATGACTAACTTTGACAAACTTAGCCCTTCTCAGCAATGCAAGGATCTAAGACATCTCCAAGTCTCATGATGGAAAATGCTATCCACATCCAGAAAAAGAACTATGGAGTCTGAAAGCAGATGGAAGCAGACTATTTGCCATTTTTTTCTTCTGTTGTTTTTTGTTTCCTCTTTCTGACAGTTCCTCCTATTGGTTCTAATTCTTCCTTACAACATCACTAATGTGAAAATATGTTTACTGGGAATGCATATGTATAGCCTATATCAGATTGTATGCCATCTTGGGGAGGGAGGGGGAGAAAATTTAAAACTCAAAAGCTTATGGAAGTGAATGCTGATAAATTAAAATAAATTAATAAAAGAATAGAATCATCACCATCACCATCACCACCATCACCATCACCATCACCATCACCATCACCATCACCATCACCATCA